TTTGCATATTTTTGGCAGTGACTTTATCCTCAGATTGAGATTGTTAATGATCTTAATGTTAGTTATTTTCATGTGCTTTGGGATTTAATTTGCAGCCTCCTCTTGATAGAAGTTTTGTCTGCACTTGCATGTATGTGTTCTCCCCGCCCCACCTCTTTTCTCCCTTACTGTTCTGTCTCTGTTTCCAGGGATCTTCATTCTATGACTACACCTAAAATTGGAATTGATGGCTCTGAGTTCCCATTCCACTATAAGATGCCCAATTGCTGCTGCCTAGCTTTCTTTCCTTTTTCTCACTGGAGACTTGCAGCTTTATACCACTTGTAGCTCAGATTGTCATTCATAACTTTTTCAGCTCCTTTCATTGGGAGAGGAACTCCACCCCAAGTTCATTTAGTGAATCTGCTCCATCCTTTGCACAGGTGAGGTTTTGGTCCCCATTATCCTACAAGCTTAGAGCTCCTAGTCACCTCTGTCCAGTTCCTGACCCACAGCCCACTAGCTCTTTGGCTTTAGCTCCTGCCTCCCACCAGAAATTTCTGCTTCGTTTCTGTTCCACAAAGGAGTTTATCTTGTTTTTTGGTTGTAGGGATGTGTGTGTGTCCATTAAGTTATCTCTGTATAGAATCAAGATGTTCCTATTCCTTATCGGTTGCTGACTCTTTGTTATATTTTATTATTTTTCTTTTCTTCCTTGATCTCATTCTTCTCTCCACTACCCACCTCCAAATATCAGTAGGTAACCATTCTAGTGAATTTAAGGTATGTTCTTCCAATTTGCCAGCTATATGTTTGTTTATGTCTATGTAGGAAGAATATTTATTTAGAGAGTTTTGTGTGATTTTAAAACTTTACATAACTGATTTAGTTATATAAACTTTTTGTTTTTAACTTCTCTCCACATTCTTTGAGATCTACATTGCTGTGTATAAATCTACAAAGGCTTCTGACTGCTATGGAGTATTATTCCTTTGTACAGCTTGAAAGTACTATGTTTTGTTAGTTTTCGTCTGTTGATGGTCACTTAGATTGCTGCCAGATTTTTTTTCCTACAAATAACACTGCAGTGAATAGCACAAATACGCATCAATTTATGGACCTCTGTAAAAGTTTCTCTAGAATTGTTGGGTATGTGCATGCTTAATTTTATTATTGTCAGATTGCTCTTCAGAAATGTTTGTATCAGTCAGTTATTTTTTTAATTTTTTAAAAAATAATTTTCCCATATTATGAAAGGCCACAGGATATATCAGACAGCCAGCAGCTGATGAGTACCTGAAATGAACATAGTAATTCTCATATCACAAGGTGATCCTGAGGGTTAAATGACTTAAGACAACAATTTTTATGGGGTTTTTCACAGTAAAACAGAGATCCACAAATAAACAAATAATGGTGAGTTCTTAAGCAATTAGAATTATCATTGTTTCAATGACATATTTATCAAATATTTCATTAGTGACTTTCCCCAGAAGCACTTACTTAAGATTTCTGGGATCACAGTTTGAAAACCCACTGAATTAAGATCTATAATGCCACTTTTAGAGCAATCTCTAGAGTATTAAACAGATCCTTAATTAAGTTTGGTTTGGTTTTGTTCTAATACCATTTTATGAAGTATATGCATGTAGTGATATTTCCCAGAAGAAAACTTTAAAATGAAGATGTTTATGTAGGCCCTTGCTTCCATTAGTCCTCAGTTGAGATTATCATCTCCCTTCTTGGCATGTCTTTGAATGAAGTAAGTCTGAGGAAGATGATATTGACCTTCTTGGCCTGTCTCAGTTGGCATTGGGCCTCCAGAGGTAAAAGTGAGAATAGGCTCTGGTCTCCAGTTTTAGTCCTGTGCTTTCACCCCAGGCCACACAGTGGTCCTTCCTTGTACCTATCTGCCCACTGTGTTTGTGGGCCATTATGGACAGTGACCGCGGAAATGAGCACGTGTGGTATATACATTGGTCTTTACAGGTTGTGGGTCAGATTGTCTCTTCCATCTCTTTGCCTACACTTATTTGTGTTTCTTTATTCTTTCTCTTCTGCGCGCACTTTCTACACATACTTCTACTT